CCTTCCCTCCCTTCCCCCCCCCCATAAGACTGTAAAGGAAATCCTGCAAGTGGAAGAGTCTGCTTTAAAAGCATCCATGACTTTGGACACAGGAACAGAAACATCTTGGAGCGACTATTACTATTCTTATCATCCACAGCAACTGAGTGCACACAGGGAAGTCCTGCTGAACGATTCCCTGTGCTTGTCCAGATAGAAGTAATCAGATGGTTTGGTTGCTCGGGGTGCTTGTGCATGTGTGTTTTTAGGTTTGGGGGGGGAGGGAAGAATTGCCATCTCCTCCCCCCCTGAGTATTTTGACATCCACGTTTCTCCAAACTGACCTGGATTTTTGTCTTTTAAAAGACACTAAGATCATTCACACAGACACACACACACACACACACACACACACACACACACACAGAGAGAGAGAGAGAGAGAGAGAGAGAGAGAGAGAGAGAGAGAAGACCATTGTCACCTAGGGATCTTAATAAGTCAGCGCACGTCCATTGTCCAAGCTTCCTTCTCTGATCTCACAAACCGTAGCTCTTCAGGGAGACCAGAAGAGAACACAACTTTGTGTGGGATGTCTTAAAATCAAGGGCTCACATTGCTAAGCAACGAGAAAAGTAGGAGCCAAGGAGAGACCTGCAAAAATGGAATAATAAAATTTTTTAAAAAAGCCCTAAAAAAAAAATGCAAAAATACTGCGTCAGTTATCATTATTAGCAAAAGTCATCTGAACTGGAAATTTAGCCCTCTTTTCCATTGCATATTTTTTTCGATCACTAAAAGTTGCCTGCAGAGATAAAGTGTGTGTATGTTGGGGGGGGGGGGGAGAATTTTCATACCAGCCTTTCACGTTTTCCTGGGAGATGTGACAGCGCCACCTAGTGAGGAAGGATGGTTCTGTCCTCGTCTTCTCCTGGTTAGCCCAGGCAAAACATGCAGAGAATGTGAAATTTCAGTAATCTATGATGCCACAAGGACAACTGGACAAGAGGTAGTGAAAAGGTCAAGAGGGTGGCCTGACCTCCTGAATTGTTGAACGTGAACAAGTCAAATGCAGGTCTCCTGCGTTCACTTTGGGAAAAGTGCAGATAAGAGCAACTAAGACGATTAAAGGGCTTATGAAGAACGGTTGCAGGATTTGAGTTTGGCTAGTCTAGAGAAAAGAAGGACTAGGGGGGGCATGATAGCAATGTTCCAATATTGGAGGGGCTGCCACCAAGAAGAGGGGATCAACTTATTTTCCAAAGAACCAGAAGGCAAGAGAAGAAGGAATAGATGGAAATTAATCAAGGAGAGAAACAACCTAGAACCGTGGTGGCGAACCTATGGCATGCATGCCACAGGTGGCACGCAGAGCCCTCTCTGTTGGCATGTGCACCGTTGCCCCAGTCCTAGGCCTTCAGCTGGGTTTTATAAAACTTTTTTGCTTTAGGCTTTGCTGTGTGCGAAAAAAAAAAAGGTTCAATCAATCAAGCAATTTCAACTTCTTGCGGGAAAAAAAAAGATCTCGCAAAGTTGGAATTGATTGATTGAACTTTTTAGTCCCACCCGTTACCACCACAGCTATGCCCATCCAGTGGGCCACGCCCACCCAATGGGCCACACTCACCCAATGGGTCACACACACCCCAATGGGCCATGCCCACCCAATGGACCATGTCCACCTGGCACTCGACGATACACAAATAGGTTTTGGGTTGCAGTTTGGGCACTCGGTCTCTAAAAGGTTTGCCATCACTGACCTAGAACTAAGGAGAAACTTCCTAACAGTGAGAACAATTAACCAGCGGAACAGCTTTGCCTCTAGAAGTTGTGGGTGCTCCATCATTGGAGGTTTTTAAGAAGAGACTGGACAGCCATCTATCTGAAATGGCATAGGTTCTCCTGTTTGAGCAGGGGGTTGGACTAGAAGACCTCCAAGGTCCCTTCAAGATCTATTCTGATAGACTTCTTGTGAAGGCAAATCCTTAAGCAAAACTTCCATAGATGATTTCAAGGGATGAACTATTCTGGAGAAGGTGGATCCATCGGGTAGTAACCAGCATTTTGAACTCTGGGCTTGGAAACCTACTGGAAAACCATGGCTAGCCTCCAGCCCTTTAAAAGAGTTGGTGAGCTAGAACATTGTTTAGGTAGTCCATCTGCCTCAAGATGAGGCTCTTTCCTCTGAAAAATGAAACCTGGGAAGCTGGTGTTGAAGGAAAAGTCTTCATCAAAGAGGAGGGAAGTAGGGAATGTTTTAAGAAAGGGTGGACGCAGCCTGGGGGGAGTGGGCAGGTCGCACTAATGGTTATGAATTTATCTTATTTTAAAATTGTATTGTATTTTTATAATGTTTAAATGGAAAAAATAAAAATTTTCAATAAAAAAAAGTCTTCATCATGGTTCAATCCAAGCCGTGAATAAAGAACATGGTGACTGCTTTAGAAAGAAGATTGCCGTTTATTGAAGAGGAGAGCCAGACAGAAAGATGGCTCTAGAAGAAAAGAGAGTGAGCACATGTAGGGAGTAGGTTTTTATACCTTCTTGAGCCTTTTGTTTGGAGTTGTTCCTGTGGCATGAGTTTTGACCCTTTGGCATCTCTGTGTTAATTCTATTATGTCCTGTCTTAGAGTTTGGGTGGGGTATGTAGATTTTAGGTGTCTTTGTCTTCTTAATTTTCCTGAATGGTTTACATCTGCATTTCTACAGAGCTGGTTTCTGCTTGGGACAGAGAGACTTGGGGGCAGGGATGGTTTCTGCTTTTAAAATCCTTTAGGGCAGTGGTTCTCAACCTTTTTAATGCTGCGACCCCCAACCGGTCATAAGTTGAGGACTACTCAACCGGTCGTAAGTCGAGGACTACTCAACTGGTGCAGCACCGTTTGCAGAATGGGACTTTTGGCGGGCTCAGCAGGGCAGAGACAGCCTGGACAATTCCTATTGGCTTTTGAAAGCCAATAGAGTTAGACTCTATTCAAGAGAGTCTATTCTATTGGCTTTCAAAAGCCAATAGAATAAAAGGGAGAAGCACAGCTAAGGAAAAGGGGGGAAAAAATGGCGGACTGCGTTGTTTGGCGACCCTCATGAAATGGTTGTTCGACCCCAAATGGGGTCCCGATCCACAGGTTGAGAACCTCTGCTTTAGGGAAATATATTCTGCCTCTTAAATATTTCCAAAAAATATTTCTTTCTCTGGGTGGCTGACTTCCCACACTGGTGATCTTGACCAAGGAAATTCGATAGAAGGCAGACAATTTAGCCAGCTTTGTGCATGGACACAAACATCCTGGAGATCCATCCAGCCCTTTTGAGGAGGAGGCGATAGTGATTGCTGTTGAAAAGCAGGCAATTTATCCATAAATAATCAGTGTGTAATTCACTTTATGCCTGAACTCCCAACAACTTCCTTCAACTCCTTATAATGTGAGCAGAGAATTTAGAAAGCTTAACCTTTAGCTGTTGTAAGATTTCCCATTAAAGATTCAGAAAAATAAACCAGTGGGACTATGATCTTTACAAAAAGATTTCTGAGAAAAAAACAATGCCTTAATACAGTGGTTCTCAACCTTTTTAATGCTGCGACCCCCAACCGGTAGTAAGTCGAGGACTACTCAGCCGGTCATAAGTCGAGGACTACTCAACTGGTGCAGCACCGTTTGCAGAATGGGACTTTGGGCGGGCTCAGCAGGGCAGAGACAGCCTGGACAATTCCTATTGGCTTTTGAAAGCTAATAGAATTAGACTCTATTCAAGAGAGTCTATTCTATTGGCTTTCAAAAGCCAATAGAATAAAAGGGAGTAGCACAGCTAAGGAAAAGGGGGGACTGCATTGTTTGGCGACCCCCGTGAAATGGTCGTTCGACCCCAAATGGGGTCCCGACCCACAGGTTGAGAACCACTGCCTTAATACTTACTCAATTGATACTAAATTTCAGCTAATTTCACCGTGAGATATGTCAAAACTAGCTGCCAACCTCTTAGTATGTGGTCTGGTGCCTTTTAGAAATTCCATTTAAGAAGCTTTTAGGAAACTTGCTAAAAATGGGATTTTCTAAAGAGTTGGGTAAGTCGTGGCTATTAGCCTCAATGGCAATGGGACTGTCTCTGAAGACTGTCTAGAGACGTGTGTTGGTCATTAGGAGAACAAATGGCTGGACTAGCCAAGCCCAGCGCTCAACCCTTATGTTACGTTATTAGCAGACTGGAGGCTAAAACGTATGAAGAACGGTTGCAGGAATTGGGTATGTCTAGTCCAGGGGTAGGCAACCCAAAACACTCAAAGAGCCACTTGAACCCGTTTCCCACCGAAAACAAAACACCAGGAGCCGCAAAACCCTTTTGATATCTAAAATGAAGATAACACTGCATATATCCTTTTTTACCTTTATTGTGTGTGTGTGTGTATACATACACACACACACACACACATATATATATCCAAATATATATATATATATATATATATATATATATATATATATATATATACACACACACACACACACACACACACACACACACACACACATACATACATACATACATACACCTATAATAAAAGTAAAAAAGGATATATGCAGTTATCTTCATTTGAGATGTCAAAAGGGTCTCTCTCTGTCTCTCTTTCTCTCCCTCCTTCTTTCTTTCTTTCTTTCTTTCTTTCTTTCTTTCTTTCTTTCTTTCTTTCTTTCTTTCTTTCTTTCTTTCTTTCTTTCTTTCTTTCTTTCTTTCTCTTTCTTTCTTTCATTTCTTTCTTTCTCTCTCTCTCTTTCCTTTCCCTTTCTCTCTTTCATCTCCCCCTCTCTTTCTCTCTCTCTCTCTCTCCCTCTCTCTCTCTCTTTCTCTCCCCCCCCCTCTGCAATCTTCTGCTCACCTGGCAAACTGGCTTCAAACTGTTCTCCAACAAGTTCAGGGGTAGGCAACCTCGGCTCTTTTATGACTCATGGACTTCAACTCCCAGAATTCCTGAGTCAGCCATGCTGAGCTAGCTAGCTCTCTCCTGCCCTTCCTGCTTCCTGCAGGGACGCAGCAAAGGGAGGAATGCTGCCAAAATAAGCTTTTCAGCTCGTCGGAGAACACTGTGAGTGCCCTCTCTTTTACTTACACACACACACACACACACACACACACACACACACACACACACACACACACACACACACACACAGAGAGAGAGAGAGAGAGAGAAGAGGGAAGCGCAATTGCCTCTCTCTGTCTCTGTCTCTCTCTGCAAATGGCGGAGGAGGCTGGGAGCCACAGGGGAAGGCTCAAAGAGCCACATGCGGCTCTGCAGCCACAGGTTGCCAACCGGTGGGATAGGGACTCCTGCTTGTGCAGGAGGTTGGACTGGAAGACCTCCAAGGTCCCTTCCAACTCTGTTATTATGGCATAAAATATGCCATAATAGAACATTATTTGCTGCATGTCTAATGTTAGCTTCTTCCCTCCCTCCCTTCCTTTCTTCTGTCTCTCCTTCCTTCCTTCCTTCCTTCCTTCCTTCCTTCCTTCCTTCCTTCCTTCCTTCCTTCCTTCCTCCCTCCCTCCCTCCCTCCCTTTCCTTCCAACTGTCTTCCTATGGTGCCATTCTCCAAAACGTCTGGACTTTTGATTTTCATTTTGGAGGGCCTGAGTGGTTTTAAGGACACAATATAACCAAGGTTCCTATTTTGCCCGCCTGTCCATTAGAAACTAAGAAAACCTACCCGAGATTTTAAATGGGTGCAGCGAAGGCCTTCAGCTCCCGAAAAGCTTAAATTCCTAATATATCCATCTTTTATTGGCCTGTTGTCCCTTCTGACGTTCCTGCCAGGTAGTCCAGGCAAGAAACACCAACCATGAGTACTAATGCTACCTTTATGGTACGGTTACGCTAGCACAGTGGTTCTCAACCTGTGGGTCGGGACCCCATTTGGGGTCAAACGACCATTTCACGGGGGTCGCCAAACAACGCAGTCCGCCATTTCCCCCCCTTTTCCTTAGCTGTGCTACTCCCTTTTATTCTATTGGCTTTTGAAAGCCAATAGAATAGACTCTCTTGAATAGAGTCTAATTCTATTGGCTTTCAAAAGCCAATAGGAATAGTCCAGGCTGTCTCTGCCCTGCTGAGCCCACCAAAAGTCCCATTCTGCAAACGGTGTTGCACCAGTTGAGTAGTCCTCGACTTACGATCGGTTGGGGGTTGCGGCATTAAAAAGGTTGAGAACCACTGCGCTAGCAGAAGGTTCTCTGAAATCTCACTAATGAGAGAAATGCAAGTGCATTTTGATAAAACACCTGTCCTCTCAACATTTGGTTATCTCTGCACTGATGGAAGAGTGATTCTGGGTGATCCAGATTTTTTTTTTTAAAAGCACAATTTGATCTTATTCACAGGTCTTCTTTTATTTCTTTCTTGCAAGGTTTCAATGTATATTCCACTCATCTCTTTTTTATTTTCTTGTATTAGAGGAAGGAAGGAAGGAAGGAAGGAAGGAAGGAAGGAAGGAAGGAAGGAAGGAAGGAAGGAGACAGGAAGGGAGAGAGGGAGGGTGGAAGGAAGGAGAGACAGAAGAAAGGAAAGGAGGAAGCTAACATTAGACATGCAGCAAATAATGTTCTATTATGGCATATTTTATGTCGGCCTTGGCTTTTCAAATGTCTCTGGAAATACCCAGAATAGATGCTTTATCTTAATGCATGCTGAGTATATTCAAAAAGATGAGACACAAACCCTGTCATCTGCTACAAAGGCAGAGGGAAGGTTTTCAATGCAGCTTGGAAGAGGCTGCTCAACATGGCCCCAGGGATTCCTCAGCAGCTGGCTGGAAGAAGGAATGGGCGCCGAGAAATGTGACAAAGTCACAGCAGGGAACGACAAAACACGCCAAGCAAAGGGCAAGGCAAGGTCTCGCCTGGAAAAGTAGCAAGGTGCAGCCATCTGAAGGTAGAAGACGTAATTTTAATGTTGACCTATTGGACAATAACCCCTCTTAGATGGAAAAGGGAGAGGGTGTGTGTGTGTGTGTGTGTGTGAAGAGAAATAGAATACAAATAGACATTCCCCACAATCCTTTCATTCTTGATTTTTCTTTTATCCAGCTTTTATTAAATGTATGTGCTGCCCACCGGACGTTTTCAAAGGTAAGAGTATTACTTTATACTGTAACCTAGGTACTACTCCTACCTCCTTCCATTTTCCCCACAACAACCCGGCGAGGTAGGTCGGGCTGAGAGCAGGAGACTGGCCCCATGTCACCCAGCAGGCTTTGCCTAAGGGAGACCCAGAACGTACCAACTTCTGGTTTCTAGGCCAACCCCTTCACCGCTACCCCAAACCGGCTCCTGATGTGTTTTTTTTTTAAATTACCTCGTTGCCCGTATTGTAACCTTAATCCTGGGTGGAACGCGAGCCAATGAAAACACCCTTCCCCACAACTATCAGAAGAAAGCCTCAAGAAATGGTGTCTAGGGGCAACCTCTCCCAGACATCCTTGTGCCATCTTCTGGGCTCCAGGCTCACCCTACCCCGGCCCTTGTGGGAAGGACCCGCTCTTCAAGGGGTTCTAGAAGGAAAGGCGGTTGAGGGGCTGCTGGGATCTCAAGGGGAAGGAGGTTCCACAGGACAGGGTCAAGTTACAAGAAAGCGGCCTTCCAAGTTCTCCTAGATAGTACCACTTAAGGCAGTGGTTCTCCACCTGTGGGTCGGGACTCCATTTTGGGTCGAACGACCATTTCACGGGGGTCGCCAAACAATGCAGTCCGCCATTTTTCCCCCTTTTCCTTAGCTGTGCTACTCCCTTTTATTCTATTGGCTTTTGAAAGCCAATAGAATAGACTCTCTTGAATAGAGTCTAATTCTATTGGCTTTCAAAAGCCAATAGGAATTGTCTAGGCTGTCTCTGCCCTGCTGAGCCCGCCAAAAGTCCCATTCTGCAAACGGTGCTGCACCAGTTGAGTAGTCCTTGACTTATGACCGGTTGAGTAGTCCTCGACTTACGACTGGTTGGGGGTCACGGCATTAAAAAGGTTGAGAACCACTGACTTGAGGGAAGGGACCAGGAGGGCACTCACCATATCTGACCCGGTGGGATAGATAAGTAGCCTCCACATCCCAGAAATGTATCTGATGGTGACGTGTTAGAATTGGAACAGAATAGATTGTAGAATAGAATGGAATGGAATGGAATAGAATAGGATTGTAGAATAGAATAGAATAGAATAGAATAGAATAGAATAGAATAGAATGGAGTAGAATGGAGTAGAATGGAATAGAAGCTGGAAGGGACCTTGGAGGTCTTCTAGTCCAGCCCCCCGCTCATGCAGAACCTATACCAGTGATGGCGAACCTTTTAGAGACCGAGTGCCCAAACTGCAACCCAAACCCCACTTATTTATCCCAGTGCCAGGGCTGTGGTGCCCTCAGGGGGGGGGGGCGTGGCCCATTGGGGGGCATGGCTGTGATCACGGCAGACTGGGAGGGGATGGCAGAGGTGGGCGTGACCATCTCGATGTTGCTCGTGGGGGGGGGGGAGACGCCTGTGGGAGCTGGGCAGGGTTGGGGCCGATCCAGGGCGTCTCTGGCGGGTGGGGCAGAGGGATTTAGACTATCTCCTTGAGATCTTCCATGCATTTGTAGACAGGGTGGAGAAGTAGATGAAACGCTACAAGGTTTTGAGAACAGCTGAGTATCCCATGTACAACCTCGAGGAACAGGACTGTCACAAAGCTGTTTGGGGAGATAGTAAAGAAGAACGGATAATGACACGAAGCCACCCCATTTGATCCTGATTCAAGAACGTTCCAATTTAAAAATGGTCCCAGAGCTACGGTTTTATTTAGGCTTTATTTTTAAAAACAGTGGAATCCCTTTTATACATTAGCGTTGCACAATATACACAACCACAAGTTTCATGCATCTACAGATACGCCCCTCACCTAAAAACCCTGTAATGTCTGTGATTCTACAGTCATCCTAAATCAACATGGAATAATGCCAAAAATGAAACAAACGAGTTGCATAGAGTATCACCATGCCGTGATGTTGTTTCAACATCATTAAAACAAAACAAAAAGGGAGGAGAAATTATAAAATTCAGCCTGAATTGAATGTACAAGACTGTCAACCCATCAGTGCAAAAAAAGATGAAAAATATACATGATTTAAAGGGGGGGGGGTAAAATTAAAGCCATAATATGTATATAAACAAAAGTATCTCACTGTATTTCACCATCACTGTCTTTTGGGTTAGATCACATCCTGCATTCTATAATTATAGGATATCTCAATTCTTTCTGTACAGATTGAGCCCTTAGGACCAATATCAGTTTACACTATTCTTCCTACATACTGGACATAATTCTCTCAGACGTACAATATAAGGAATGAATTCAGCAGCTTAAAAATCAAATACTCACTGTAGTTTGGTTTCCCCACCCTCCAAATATAAATATATACTGTATATATTTTAGGTTTTGCTGTACTTTACAAAAGGTTTTCACTAGATGGCAGCAGGTGCATTTCAGAGCTCATTGTTTTAATAGCTACGTTAAGTAAAAAAAAAATAAAATGCTGCATGCATGATTGGACTTCTTACTTGTAATACTTAGTGTTCTCAAAGGAAAAAAAAAAGCAACATTCCCACAGCATATCAAGCCCAGAATAGTTTACATCTTCTATTCTGAAGCATTAGTAAAAGTATCGGCTAAATAAGGCATGCTTGAGACGGTCACCGTTGCCCACTTCAAAGGAAAGCATCAGAGAAAAATGGTGTTTGCAAATCAACCTTCGGAGTTCAGTCTAGCAAGTGGCGTTTCTATCAGTCTCTCAAATGTACAGCTCTGGAAAAAACAACAACAACAATTAGCGATTACTGAAATGCCTAATTACAATAAGCTAGAACAAAATGGTAGGGCTACACGCTTTCTCAAAGATAAGCAAAAGCAAGTTCTAGGGGGCTTGCTTCTAAACACAAATAAAGAGATGGCAGAAGACAAAAACTTTTTGTTACAAGTTGTTTACTGTCAGGAAAGCTGTGTATGCGTTTATAAAAACCATAAAAATTGGGTTTTCTTTGTTGAAATGAAAACAGGTAGAATCACTGTGTTTGCTTGTTTTTAAAAAGGCTCACCAATTTTTTTTTAAAGAGCCATGCCACAGTGGATCATTATAATCCTGTATAAATGTGGGCCATCTGTGTGTGTAATGCGGGTCCAATTTTTATTATCCCACTAGCCAAAAATATGTTTAAAAAATGTTCAGCAGTAGGGCTGGCTCTATTCAGTGTTAGTGCAGCTTAACCTGCAAATTTCTTATATATAGATGACTCAGTCTTATGCAATTATATTTAGCCCTTTTGCATTTTCAAAAACCCAAACGGATAAGTAAATCAATACATATGAAAACACAGTTTTGAGGAACATTTTATACGAACTTACATAAGCGTTGCTTTTAATTTGTATTTCTCTGACGTAGATTTTTATCTTTATGGTTGTTTGTGGAATTAGTTTTCCTATAAAAACAAAATGACATCCAAATTAAGTTGAGAAAAAACTAAAGTTATGAACAAAAAAATATTTACCATATGATGAGAGGAAGGGGCCTTCTAGACCAGTGCTTCTGAATCTCAGCAATTTTAAGATGATGAATTCTGGGAGTTAAAGCCCATATATCTTCAAGTTGCTGAGGGTGAGAAGCACTGATATAAACCACGGCAGAACCTTGTGGAGAAAATAGAGATGACCTTCCAGAAGAATCATTTTAGCGGCAGTTGAACGCATTATTTACATTCACTTGGGTACAATGCACTGCTTTCTATTTATTATACTCTTTGTTATACTGCTATTTTTAAAAGTTCCTCTCTCTCTGGGGAAGGATTTGTTTTATGTAATTTTTCTTTTCCCCAAATAACTCTGTTCAAGGTAGCAATTCCACTGGGGTCGAACGACCATTTCACGGGGGTCGCCAAACAACGCAGTCTGCCATTTTTTTCCCCCTTTTCCTTAGCTGTGCTACTCCCTTTTATTCTGTTGGCTTTTGAAAGCCAATAGAATAGACTCTCTTGAATAGAGTCTAATTCTATTGGCTTTCAAAAGCCAGTAGGAATTGTCCAGGCTGTCTCTGCCCTGCTGAGCCCGCCAAAAGTCCCATTCTGCACCAGTTGAGTAGTCCTCGACTTACGACCGGTTGAGTAGTCTTCGACTTACGACCGGTTGGGGATCGCGGCATTAAAAAGGTTGAGAACCACTGCACTAACATCACCACTTCTATTGCTCCTCCCTTTTCTGATAGTTAATTGCATGCAAAAATAATCTCGACTGATCTACCATGAGACTTAAAAGGCCAGAGTAAGCAAACAAAAAAACAAAACAAAACAAAATCAACGTGACAGGTTCTTAATCGCCACACCCCTGGGGAATTCTGGGAATTGAAGTGCACATATCTTAAAATTGCTAAGATTGAGAAGCACTGCCTTGGATGAGGACTTTTCTCTGCAACATGGAAATGTTCATTATACGCTAACTCTCGAAAGAACAACCCTTCATTGCCTTGAAATATTTTGCTTTACATTCATATATACTTGCCTGAAAGATGGAACATTTAGAGCACAAAATGATCTGGGATAGGAGGACCAGATCCATGAAATACTTACATTGGGCCAGCTGGTTCATCGTCTGCAAGAAGATGGATTGTGATCCAATGAAGGAAAGAGAGAAGGAAAAAAAAGGCTATTAGGTTCTGTGGTAAACTTTTGAGGGAGAGTACAAAATATTGTCTATCAATAGCTTTATCTAAAGGCCATTCCATTTGAAATTGCAAAGATTTCATGAAGGGATTTTTTTTTTTCCTGGATTTGAGTTTAGATGACAAAGTCGGCTGTTCAAAATCATTTCAGTCAACACTTTTTGAATGCTTTATCGTGGAAAACTGTAACTGTTAAGTGGACAGATTCTTGCAAATGTGGATATACTCATCTTATCCCCAAATTCCAGTAGTTCAATCTTACAAGAGAGATGAGAAGACAAACCAACATTTCAGTTGTAAAATCCTGCTGTTTGTTTCTAAAATCAATGCTTTCCCCACCATCTTAGCTCTCCCCAGAAATGCTTGGTACATGATTTCATGTGTGTCCTGTCTCTTTTTC